TATATTAATACTACTTAATATCTTCCAATAAACTTAGATTATTGTAAATATTCACTGTTGAACTAAGTGTAATTGGTGAGTGATTGATGAACTCTAAGATTATGATTAATTAGGTAAATCAGTAGATATTCCTATCTATAGACATATTCTAAACACCTTGTATGAATAGACATTCTCTCTTTGTCTTTCTCACTTCATTTTTCTCCTGCTATGATTTCTTCGTTTTCAATTTATAACATGTGACGGTCTTAATATGTTGGCAATATAGGTCATCTTTTTAAGTTGTCGCTAACTTAAAACACAACGGAAAATGAAAATAATCATAAAGGAAAACATGCTCAGTCAAAACTGTTACATTCCATGTATATGGAAGCAATCATGGGCGTGACACAAGAGAGCAAGAGAGAGAACCTGGGGGCAATGTCCAACATTTGGAATGACAACAAAATCTTCGACAAAGTCAAAATTTTCATAATTTCTTCCAAGCTCAATTGGTTCCCAAGGATCCTTGTCACCCCAAGCAATCAAAACTGGGCACTGAAAGAAGAAAAACTAAACCTATTATATTTTTTGGATTTTGGCTTCCCAAACTTCATTCACTTGTTTAGATCACACTTACCTACTGGTGTTTGCAGGCTTACCTTTACTTGAGGTAGTAGTTCCTCCGGAAGAGGGCCACCTGAATAACAAATGAACTCAAGAAAGACCTCTGCAGCTCCAGGTTCCAGACCTGGACCAAGGATGATCTGCACTAGCTCATCTGTCACTTTGGAGGTGTCATGATAGCACTGTCAAAGCAAGTCACGTGTAATCATTATGTTGCAGGTAACAGCATCCTCAATTGTCAAATTACAAAGCATGATACCACCTTGGAGCTGGCCACTTGCGGCTCAGTGATAGATGTCCATTCATAATAACATAAGTGTACGTTAAGAAAAATGGGAGGGAATGTAGGAGATCAGAGGCTGTTTCAGGTGGTGAGCAAGGGAAGTGCAATTAACACATAGTGAGGGTGCCTAGTAACAACCTGTCCACTTGGCAGGTAAGGGCCACGAAACAAATCTGACAATTAGGCATGGGATAAAGGGAGAAGAGTGGAGAGGGGAAAGGCAGAGAATTGTGAGTAATGTTTGGGAAGGAAGGAAGCTCACACACTACCCCTCCGAGCACCTACACTGTTTCTACAATTATTGACTGTTCCTGCTTTATAATTTCAAGTCTGTTTCTGTGAATCTCATACTGTATATTCCCATTTTTTTGTAGTGAAATTAATTGGACTCCTTATGAATCGGATTTATTCTAATTCGTTAGAGTCTCATACTCAGACATTTCCTTTTGTTTGTCTATCCAGCCTACTTTATTCAAGGCTAAAATTTTTAAAGATGAAATTGAATGTTAAGCAAGAGAAGTACCTGGCAAAGAATGTTCCTCACAGACTCTTTTGTGGCAATAGTTTTATAGAAGAATTTGCCTACTGCAGTATCCCTACAACATATAACATGATAATATGGGTATATCCTCTGCTCAAGGCTTGAAATATCTCAAATCCAGAAAAAAGAAACTTGGGGTTCATTTATACCTAAGCAATCTCTGGAATGAGCTGATGAAAGGTTTTGCATACCAAGGCTGCTTCTTTATATGAAGCATACGCAAAGATATATTGAGAAGGATAATGCCCCGACAAACGTGTGGTGCTACCACAGCTGCTTGAAGTCCAACGACTCCTGTACAAAAATAAAGAACAAGTAATATGAATTATGAAGGGAAGGCAGTGATTAATTATGAGTTCCTGAAGGGAAGATAGTTGAAAATTTTCACCTCCAATAGAATTGCATATAAAGAATGGTTCATCCTTGATGACATCAAGACAAAACTCATTTAATTGAGAAGCCCACGTTTCAAAAGTGTAAAAGGAATGGTCTCCGATTTGACGAGGATTTGGTTTATCTGAATATCCATATCCAATGAGATCAATGGAGTAGACCCGGTGGGACTGTGCAAGAACTGAAATATTATTCCTCCAGTGGTCACTGCAACGAAGTAAAATCTAAAATTACAATATGGCACAAACAAACTAATTGACAAAGTCAAAATAAGGGCAGGAGCAAACAGAAGAAGTTTAGATTTGGTATTAACAACACAAACATATGACAGACATCTATCAATCCAGACCACAGACCTAGTACCTGTTAGCTCCAAAACCGTGGACTAAAAGTAGAGCAGGGCCATTTTTCCCAGAATGTTGATAGCGAATAGAGTAACCCCTCCAATTCCACACGCTACAAGTACAATACAAGGCATGAAATCTTTTATTCACTGTTTAAAGAAACAGAAAAAAATGAAATAATTATTGTGATTACCGAGATTGAACTTGGTCCTCTGCATCAATGCTTAATTTGGATCGGATTCGACGGGGGAGATGGATTTTATTTTGAATTGGAGAGTGGGAGCAAGAGCGGTTGCGAGGGAAAATGAGACTGGTGGTGGTGGTTGATGCCACACCCACGCTCATGGTCGTGGTCATGGCCATGGCCTTTCTTTTCCACGCTCATTCGCCACTCCCCATTTCTGTCTATCTCATTACTCCACTGGTTGCCCCATTCCTCTGCTCTACAGCACGCCACGTACTTTAACACCCTACCCTACCCTACCAAACTCCTCTCACTCTTATCACACATAAGAACCAAAGGAAAATAATCATTTAACATCCCTACCTTCAACAAATATTCATCTTACAACCTTATTTTATTAATATAATAATAGTAAAATATGTGAAATTTAAGATATTAACGTATCATAGGTCTGTCGCAAATATATATATATATATATATATATATATATATATATATATATATATATATATATATATATATATATATATATATATATATATATAAACTAATCTCATTGCTAAATTGAAACTCATATTTTAAAATACATATTTATCTTTCTTTTTTATCTATTAATAATGTAATTTGTGGATATAAAGAAGAAAGTTTTCCTCTCCTAAATGAAAGACTATTTAGTAATTTTATTCCTCTGAATTTTGATAATTTGTTTCTATTTTTTTATTAATTATACCTTTTCAATTTTTACTACTGAATTTAAATGCACGTAATATATTTGCTTAGGAATTTCACTCAATGAAAAAGTCTACATTTGTTAACTTTTCAATTATTATTAAGCTGTTTATTTCCTAGTGATATTTTTACAATCCAATAATCATATAACCTTTCAAACAACTTATTTTTATTATAATATAATAATTTATAAAATAATTTAATAAAAAAATTATTATTATAATATTAAAAAAAGTTGTTTAATAATTTTTTAATTATTATTAAACTCTTTATTTTTTAAGAGAGGTAATATTTTGACAATCTAATATTTATATAACTTTTAAAATAACTCATTTTTATTAATATAAAAATTTATAAAATGATTTAATAAAAATAAAAATAAATTAAAATTATTATTATAATATTAAAAAAGTGTTGTTTATAGAAATTATATAGAAGTTGAATATAAAAATATCATTTTTTATTTTTCAATGCCAATCTTCTTCTTAATATTCTTTCTTGAACAAATTGCTACTTATTGGAAGCACACAAAAAAACTTGAATTTTCTCTCTATTGTATACTGTATCTTCAATTTCTAAATGTTAGAGGGATTTTTGTATAAGATCAATTTTATTTAATTTTTATCTGTCAAATCTAAAGTTCTTCTTCAGTTTTAGTTTGAGATGTCTTTGTGTAACAATATACTGTTCCATGAATCATCAGAATACTAACGTTAGGTGAAGTAAATTTTTTTTTTAAATGAATAGTTTAATTATGAGATATTAGAAAGACGTAAGAAAATAAAGAAATTGTACGTTTTAGACAATATTATTTTAATATAAAAATAAATTAATTATTATAAATTAAATTTATTAATTTATGAGTTAAATATGTTCTTGGTTCTTATTTTTTTTGTCAAATTTAATTTTATTATTTATACTTTAAAATTGATTAATTTTCCTTTAACCTATAAAATTTGTGAAATACATGTGATTTTATTTATTTTTTGTTAAATTTAATATTTAGTGAGAATTTTTAGTTTAAAAATGTTAATAAAATAATTGAATTTTAGTTTTTCTTTACATTCAACTTTAATATTTAATAACTTTTTTACTGTTATAAAATTGATAAGAAAAATAAATTAACCTATTTTTTAAAATTTGAGTACTAATTAATTAATTTTTAAATATATAAATTAAAATTAAGTTTAAAAAATATAAAGACTAAGGATTATGATTGGTAGTCTATTATTAATAATATAATGGAGATTATTAATTTTAAAGTTAGAATGTGATAGAATCAATTCCATATTTTTGAAAGAAAGTACTATTTTATATAAAAAATAAATAGTTACAAAATATATGATTAAATTTAATAATATGTGATTTTAATATAAATATAAATAAAATAAAAAATGTTTAGTCATAATAATATAATAAAAATTGTTTAGTAATAATAATATAATAAAAATTACTTCTCACTACATATATATGTGACATTTGTTATATTAAATATTTTATTTATTTATGAATTTATACTTTTATTCATTGTAATGTTATTGCATAAATTTAACTAATCACAATTAAAATTAAGTCTTAAAGTTTGAATAATGACTTTATCACTATTTAATAAAAATGGTAGTTAAACTTGAATATATGCACGGATAATGTATATACTAATTATAATATCTAACTTGTTGGAAAAGATTCAGTTTATTGATAAGCAGCAGTAGTTTATTAAAAAATAAAATGCAGGGAGAGTTACAAGAAAAATGAAATGGTAGAGGAGCCTATTTATTTGCTAAAGCAGTAGGAGTATCTATGAGGAGATAATTAAGCTGGAAAGAATTGAGAAATGAGGGGCATTTCGAAACGGGTTGAGACGCGTTGATAAACTCCAACCCTGATTCTACACTTGTTTATTAACGTGGAATTTTGTGCTTAGACGTATGGTGGTGGCCTTGGCAAATCCTTAACAATACCGCAAAGGAGTTGTTCATCTCGCATAGTGTACTCGTCTCTGAGAGAACGCTCGGGGGTTATAACACTAATGTATAGCTGCTGGCCAAGATACTGATTTTCAGCAATCATGGATCTCAGGTTCCACATTCCAACGTTATCGAATGACAGCATGACGGCGGCCCAACATTTTGGGAAGACCTGAATTGTGTGTCTGCTCACGGCATCCAGAGCGTTGTAGTTAATCCTTTTATCTGGCGCCCATGTGCCGGGCTCTATGCTGTAAGTAAGCAATTAATTAATTAATAAAAAATGAAACCCTAATAAAAGAGAAACAAGTACATACGAAAAAGGAAATGAAAGAATACTCACGCGACTGCGAAGAACGCATAACCATTCAAGTGATATGACTGGATTGATTTTTCAGGATTCTCAAAGATGATCTCGACGAATTTACGATGGGTAATGTTCAGAACATTTGCTTTAATTTCGATATTGTTTACAACGCTAGCGGGTGGGTCGTCTTGGATAGAATTATATTGGAAAACCTTGTCAGCAACTCCATAGTATTCAGCTAGCTTGAGTGGAGTTTCGGTGTCGACGTGGGAGACACCATTGAGGGCATAGCGAATCTTACCCTGTTCCCTTTTAACGGAGTTGACGATTCTGATGGTACGGGTGATATCGATCTTACCGTATTTGTAAGAACCCTGAGGGTTGGGTCTGGCGGCACTGGCAGTGAGATTCCAGCGGAAGGAACGGAATTGATTGAGAGACCAAGCCCAGCCAGTTGGAGCTTCGGGGATGTCAGACGAGGGACCAGCGTTACCATTTGTGTAACGGATGATGCCTTTACCTGTCAGAACAGACTTGGTGAAACGCGTGGAAGCCACTATGTAGTAATCCTTTGGCTCCTTGTCTGCGGTTACAAGGACAGAGACGCACCCCCCTACATGGAGGTCCAGAGAGTCGTAGGCGTTTTGCACCACGTGGGATCCTTCCATCTCAACCAGCGTCATCGAGTGACCTTGGATCCTGAAGTTGAGGGAGTTCTTAATCCCTACATTGCATACGCGGTATTTGTAGGTCTTTCCGGGCTTCATCGTGAACAGTGGCTCGTCTTTTCCGTCACCTTTAGCATTTTTGCCGTTGATGAGAACACCTTCAGGCCTGCCAATGGAGCGACCACTATCCAAGAACTTCTTCAGAGTGGTGTGGCTCTTTGTGTACCAGTCACACATCACAACCGTGTATTCGTCCTCGGGATCATGGTATGGCACAGGAATGAGCAATCGGCTGTTTATGCGGAGCCCACCAAAACCACCAGCTGCCCTGTGCATGCCTGTGCTCGGGTAGTAGAAGAAACTACCTATCTGGTCCTTCACCTGGAAACGGTACGTGTAGTTTGTCCCTGGAGAAATGGGGCAGTTTGTTCCGGGAACGCCGTCTTGCCACGAATTCTTTCTTTGTTGGACTCCATGCCTGCAGCATTCATGCATGAACGCAAATTAATCAATGTACCATCAAATCTATCTATCTATCTATCTATATATATATACAAATGAACCCATCCATTAAATAAAAATTACCATGTAAAAAGAAGAGGCTCGTCAAGATTATTGAAGATATTGACAACAACGTTGTTGTTGCTGGTGGAATTGATATTGGGTCCTGGGAATTTGCCGTTGATGAGAATGACTTGCTGGGGTATACCCAACGGAGAGAGGGTGCCGTATGAAACGTTCCATGTAAAGAAGAGATAGGGGTCTTCCCCCCGCACCACCGACAAGAGGCATAGCAATAGCACAACAATTATCCCTCCAATTGCCATCTCTAAACTTTTATTACTTCACTTTATTCCAGTGTAGAACACTTTATGTATCTGAATCCCCGTTGGCTCATACCCCCACCACCCTTGCCTTTTATGCATGTCCTCCTGCTTTCGCAGCCACTCAATGATTACGGAAACATCTCCCACTTCCCGTTACTTCTTGCTCCTTGGAACGCGTACTTCCTTTCACCTTCTCGTTGTCCTCGTCAAAGCCGTTGCCGTCCTTATTATACTCTCCTTTATATTCATAAAAAATATCAATCTTTCCTTTTTATTCGTCAGATGTTGCGATATCGGTGTAAAACAAATTAAAATAATGTTTGAAAAAAAAAAAGTGTTCAATATATTTTTGTTATGCCGCGCGTTTTTAATTAAGATATAATTTATAGCATTTGTGCTAAAAAATCTTGATTAAATATGTAATTTTGAAAAGAAAACATCAACATGTTGCCATAAATAAACTAGTCAATATAACTTATCACACTCTCATAATATATATTTCTTAAATATATATATATATATATATATATATATATAAATTTCTAATAATTATTCTTAGTACGTCTTGCCCTTTCATCATATTATATATATATATATATATATATATATATATCAATAAAATATAATAATTAAATTAACATACACTAAAAAATTATTAAATATGATCTAATTTAATCATTATATAAACTATGTTAGAGACTATTTTGCAAACCAGAATCATTTGTCTATAAAGTAGTTTATGTCAATAAAAGAATTATAATATATAAACTGAGAGTATATCTTATTATATATTTTGATTGAATAATATGTTCAAAGCCTTTGATTTATTTGTGTAATTGGTTTACATATGCTAATTTGTTTCAAAATTTAATATAACTAGTTTTGATAAAATTAGTTTTAAATCACCTAATGTGTATATGTTAAAGAATTTTAACTATTTATTTTTTTGACATTCTACAATTTATTACGGGCTTGATACTCCAACAGGATTTCATATTTAATTATTCTGAAATACTGGACGTGGAGTCAGTCGTTGAATTCAGATGGATGCGCTAGAGTTCATTTCTTTTGCTAAAACTTTTCATAATGGAAAAAAATTCGTTGACAACCCACTTTTTAACCAATATTCATCCAATAACAATATAAAAGAATAGATAGCGATTAACTAATCACTTTTATAAATAAGATATAATAGCGGTTAACGTGGAATTACTATGCAAAGTTGTATTTATAATAGTGGTTGAAATGATAATCTACTCTTAAAAATCACATATATAATAGCGGTTAAAATGACAATACTATCTAAAATATACTTTTAATAGCAGTTAGTTCTAGAATCGCTCTCTTTAGTAGAATCGCTATCTAAAGTCCAAATTTAAAAATAATAATAATTTTATTTAAATTTTAAAATCCAAAATTTATTTTTGATAATTTGTACACGATAGACCACAATTTCAGGGTATATATCAAATTAATTCAAAAGAATCCAGCCAACATACAATATATATTCACAGAATCATAGAAAAACAATTCAAAATTTGACAAATTAAAACTAAAATTTGCATGAAACAAAATTGGTACATATACATCAAATAATTGAAATGATTAAAAAAATTCTTAAGAGTCTATGGTGTTGATTTTATCCTTAAAAAATGTATGATAGAAATATGCACACTATTCCTTTTGTAGCTGCTTAATTTTAAAGTCCGAAAAGGTAGCAGAACGAGATTCTGGAAAATACTGTAAACATAAATAGAAAAGAATTACAAAAATTAAATTCCAAATTAGATAAATAATGACAATACATTATTATTTCATATAAACATAGTCATAATGCAAAAATGGTTCTTACGTTAACTGCAATAGTAGTTTGTCAATGCTGTAGTGCATCTTCAATGAACAAGACTATGTAATATCCAGTCATCTGAGTTCATTATACTATATACTTAATAAAATTTCGGTAGCATTTCACATCAGTCTCTTAGTCCACAACTTGAATTTGGTAAAATTAACCTCATTCAACCATGCACCAAGAGACAATGACACAAATAGCAAATTAAAATTTTACCAATTATAACAAATAACAGTTTAATCAACTACCTAGATAATTATTGGCCAAGAAAAACTTTTTTCCCAAACTGTCCAAATTGGGACAATTTGAGTTTCAAAATAATGATCATAAATCATTATTTAGAGACTTAAATGAGAAACTAAAGGTTCACTCAAGTTCATATATAATAATACCATTTAACAAGCATATAAAATTATTAAAACTATCAGCAAAAGTATCATACATAATCTCTAATACAAAATATTTTAGGGTCACACTAAACCATTTATATATCCTAGTCAGCCTATATTTTATTTCAAAACACAATTTCAGGATCACAATGTAGGCAAAAATAAACAATTCAGACAAAACTAAGATATTAATCAATCCAAATACTAATTTTAAATTGTAATTTCTAATTCACACTCACCCTAAAATTTAACTAAATGTATCAGAATCAAAATAGGGGTGCAAACTGTATCCAATATCACATTAATTCAAATAATTATACTATAATAAATCAAATAAAAGCCTAACAAATATATAATGTACTAACCTATTGTAAACCTCCCAATAAGCACGTCCTACAACAACAATGGCGAATGGAGACTGGAACGTGACACAAATATGCTTCAATGGAGTTATAATACTCAACTTAGTAGTGAGAGCAAGAGAATGAGAGAAATTGAAGACATAAAGGGAAATTGAGAGAACTCAGAGCAAGTGGGAGAGCACAAAGTGAGCGAGAAGGAGAGAGTTTAACGGAAGACGCAGAGAGCGAGAAGGAGAGCGCAGAGAGCGGCAAAAAACGCAGAAACAGAAAATGCGAGGTTGAAGAAAGGGGAATTAGGGTTTTTAAAAATTTGACTTTAGATAGCGGTTCGCCAAATAACCGTTATCTAAACTACACTTATTATAGCGGTTCCATGAAGTAACCGCTATCTAAAGTTATGATAGCGGTTCCACGTGTCAACTGCTCTTTAAATATTATCACACAACGTCTATTATAAATTACTTTAGAAAGTGATTCTTTCTGAACCGCTATTAAAACATACTTTAAAGAGCATTTTACTCCTAATTGCTATTTAAAAACGATTTTTATTAACCGTTATCTAAAATGCTGTCACGAAAGCGACTTTTTGTTGTAGTGGTTATTTAATAAAACCAAATCAGGCAATTGTTAAAATGGTTTTGCTGGGTCTTTTGGAAATGAAAAATTTACAACTATCCACCAATTTCATTTATTAATGTATAATAATAATTTTGAGTTATTTTGTTGTGATTAAAACATATTATATTAATATACAAGGTTGTTTTGTATGTCTCAGCACTGGTTAGAGATTCACTGGTATGATGGCTAGAATGGCTAGAATGAAATTATTGATAAAGAGTTATTATAAAAATATTTATTATATAATCTTATTTATTAATATTATATTAATAAAGTGATTAATTTAAAATAAAATTAATTAAAATTAATTATTTTTATTAAAAATAAAATTGTTAAATGGATGTTTGTTAAAAAAAATTTCTTATTAATATGAGTGAGTGATTATGACGGTTGATAAATGGATGGTATGAGACACACACTACACAAAATTTATTAAATATCATACAAAGAAAAAAATATGTAGTTATATTATTGAGTTAGAAATTATTTAACACATTAATATTTATTTATTTTTAAATTAATCCTCCATAGTTAAAATTTTTTATAATATAAATAAGGACCATTTTTAGTGACTAATAATCATAAAAAATATATATTTATTCAGTTATAAACAAATTTTTTAATCCCTTACCGAGCTAAGATTAGAAATTATATTTTTAGTCACTGTTATTTAATTAAGAGACTAGTTTTTTTTTGTGAATAAAAAAATAAAATTATATTCTTAATTATCATATGGTTTTCTTTTCTCTTTAACATGATGCTTTTCTATATATTTTTATCATGTTATTATGTCGTTTTTGTTTTTAGTTATTGTATAACAAAATTCAGGTAAACATGATTATACCCTTTTTAAAGCAACTTGCAATTACATTCAAATAATACTTATTGTGTAATTTTCTTCATGTAGATAGATTTTTTAAAAGACAAAAATAATGTAGTGGTGCAAATTTGAAGAATGAAGATGAACTTTATTTGAAAATAAATTATTGAAATCTTTGTTGTAGTTATCATAATAACTTTTGTTACTAACTAAATTAAAAATAACAATAATTTGTTATTCAAGTGAAAATATAAATATTGTTAATTCATTTAATTTGTTTTATGACGAAGGTGTTAAATATCTAATAAAAAAACAAATAAAGTATATAAGAGTAACTCATATATAGTTTTTATTTAAAATGGTTATTTTGGTTTGCATAAAATATTTAAATTGTTTTTATTTAAACTATATCCATATATTTTAAATCAAAGTATACTAATTGTAATCTAACGTAACATGTAAGTTCGATGCAAATATATTATTATAGAGTATAACTAAATGACCAAAATTTATCACTAACGAAAACAAGTGGTTGAAATAGTGATAAACTCGAATCAGTCACACTTTTTTTGTTACTAATCTCGATGACTAATTGAAAATATGAAATTCGTCATTATCACTAATTTTATTTTCTTTTTTTATTATATATAATTTTTAAAATAATAATAAACCTATTAAGAAATATGAACTATTTAAATACATGATATGTTGTATTAAATTTAACAGAATTATACTATATGAGATAATTATTAAAATAATACTATAAATTTTGTTTAAAATAAATGTTGAAAATGCAAGGATATGATGACTAAAGATTTTGATGATGATACAAGGATAAAGAACTTCAAGATTAGAAGACTTATATACATTTAAAATTAATTATAATAACTTTGTTTTGTCATTTTGAGTATGTAAAAATAGAGTCCATGATAGCTAACACTTAGTCTTTCTACAAAAAC